TGATGCCATAATTCGGACACAACTATACAAGACTGCGTCCCAAATGTAATTTACAAACATAAGTGGCACCAATGTATACCAAAATGATCGTGTTGTGTATATTGCTCGAAGCATCCTTAAGAAAGATGACGAATAAGATACTTTTGGTATGTTGAACTAAACTTATATGAATAAGAAAAATAAGTTAAAATCTTTTAATCGTGATGTATACGTGTACAGCGTCCTAGGTATCTAGTACTAGTCGACAATCATTTGGATGACTAACACAAGACAAGAGGTGAGTTTAATTTGATGCTGTAATTTTAGAAATTAAGAGGGACATACAATAAAAAAAAAAAAGCCACATAATTATTGTACCTAGATAAGATTTACTTGAGAAACAACAAAAGAAAGAGTTTCAGCCATACGTATGTAAAATAGTAATGCTCTCAACTCGAAGAGTAAAGTTAGCGAGTGATTGAGTTCAGTAGGTTCTCATATAAAATTATTTGATTCTAGAGATGTAGTAATATGGAGAAGACAAAATTATTTCAAATATCGACATAATCGAAAGTGCCCCTTCTTTCAAACTTTCAAAGAAAGGGCGAATTATTCTCATTTCACTTGATGGTCATATGCGAATTGAAAGTTAAGCATTGAGAATTCGAAAGATTCCCTACCACCATCATAAATTAGAGTGGCAATGACATGTTGAGAAAACACGTGTACTTAGGAAATTATTCAAGTGTCAAAGGTGCTGTTTGGAGATGCGTTTTTATCATTTAGCAAGAATTAATCTGGACAGTACACGTGGCAGCCTCTAGACCATTGGATGGAGGGTTGTTGGAAGACCATATATAAGCGTCTCTTTTGTTCTCTCTTCAATTATTGTTCATCTCCTCCTTCGTTTTTTTTTTTTTATTTTTTAATTTTTAAGGTTAGTAAGATACTTAAAGTTTGTTTGAACTTTAAACAATTGAACTCCATATTTTGAGTTAAAAATTTTGGAATGGTGAATTTTTTGAGAAAGTGTGATTAGAAAGTAGGAAAAGAAATTTGTTTTACGTATAAAATTATTTTATCGAAAATGTGTAATTGAAAATAAATGTGACAAAAATAATTAATTTTTAAAAAATGGAGATCAAATAGGGGCTTAATGTTTTCTGGTGTAATCTATGGCGAGAAGGTTTGCAGAAAGATGCACGAACAATAACCTAGGTGGGTGTTAGGCTGATTTGGTGAAATTCGAGTGATTTCTAACCCCTGTTGGGTATCAATTAAAATTTAGATTTTAATTTAAAACAAATTCAACAATTAATTTTAATTACATATTTTATCGATCTCACCACTTTTCTATCACACATTTTATCAACTTTTATCAAAACCTACAATTTTTTTTTATTTTAATCCCCACTAGACAGTGGCTTGTGTATAACATAAAGTTGTATGAAATTGGCTTAACTTTCTAGTGTTATCCACAATGGTTAGGATGTTTGACATGAATTAGGTGTTAGAAGCTGTATCGAATCTTTGAAGATGTGTTATTTATTTCAATAATGCTGAACAAACAGGAAAAAAAACAGACTGATGTGGCAGCATATGATTGAGTGTTTTTATGAGTTGTTTTCCTATTCTCTAATGAAAAATTGCCACATCAATCTGTTTTTTTGCTTTTTCTGTCATTGACCCTGGCCATGTAACATGGTTCTATTTATTTTTTCTTTGCAATATTGGGCTTGTTCATAACATTTACTTTATGAGAATAAATTATTTATCAACAAAACCTGCGTAGGGACAAGTTACATTTTTATTTTTATTACTTTATCGATAAAGTAAATTTTTTGAACTTAGCTAAACATGCCGAAGCCGCATATTACGCATGCATGGAACACAACGAGAGCAAAATAAAATACACATTTGTGCTATAAAATATCAAATTGAACAGATTCGATATAAAATAGGGATGGAGCCAAAATTCAACTTCAAAGTGAACAACCAGTATAATTTTTTTAAAGCGAACATTTTATTTATTTATAAGCAAAAACATATATTTAAACATAATATGTTAATTTAAGCACGAAGCATGCCGCTGCTTCGTGCTGCATTAGGTGGCGACGATGCGCCTGTCTTGTGCGGTGTCGTTGCGTCGATTGCCGACAGAGGCGTAAGACGATGCAACAGAATATATTGATACGAAATGATTGAGATGGTGTGAAATGAATTAGGATTTGTTGTGGTGGGTGGATTGGTGGTGGTAGGTTAATTAATTTAATAATAATATTATTAATATTTTAATAAATTATGATATGATTTTTGCATAAATAATTCTTAAACCAGATTTTTGAATTTGAAAGTTGAAAAACATGGATGGATGTAATTTCCATGGACAATTATCTAACGAATGTAACGCTGAGCCATGGCCTAGAGGCTAGACCTAGCTCTGATCATGGGCTAGTCATTCGACAACTTGGCCCAAAATTATTCAGTCGGCCCCCCTACACTTAAAAATACTGGATCCTTGTTTCATAACCAATTCCAATTCTAATTCTAATTCAAAGAAAAGGGAAGGAAAGGAAAGAAGGTTAACTGCAAAATGGAAGTTGACAGGCAGTTCAACAAAATTGACATTAATTAAATGAAATGGAGGTTATGACTAAGCGTGGTGGTTATGCGCCCGTTTGGTGGGGATTAAAATCATAAAGTAAATTTTGATAAAAAAACGTGCGATTGAAAAGTTGTGAATTCCATAAAAGTGATGTTAAAATTAATTATTGATTTTGACTTATATTAAGCCCCTATTTGATTCGAATTGAAATCTGATTTTAATCCAAGTCAAAGTCAAACAATTAATATTAACCACATCTTTCATGGGTCTTACAACTTTTCAACCACACATTTCAAAAATTTCTATCACAATATGCTAAAAACATAATTTTAATCTCCACCAAACACCCCCTAAAACTTGATTTTAATCCTCGCCAAACAAGTGCTAGTTGATGTCAAACGTTGCATTTGGTTGCTAACAGGGCGACATGGCAAGCACGTTGGGCAAAACCCAAATGCAGCATGTTCGACCCCTTCAGTGTTTAAAATATGTTCAACTTATTTTTAATAAATCAAAATATAATGTGTTTACATTATTTTATTTCTACTTGTAACTTGTTTTTCCGTATCGTGACAAGAATAGTATGGTTTAATTGTAAATCAAAATTCAACTAAGATATGATTTGACGAAACTAAAATAAATGGCGGGAGTAGAAATTGAATTAAAAGAAAATCAAAACTCATAAAGTTCAAACTTTCCAACAAATTTTGGACAAAGCTAGCAAACAACTTTCTTTAAAGTCACCACTTTCTAGATTTAAATCCAAAATGGTCCCTACTTGCCACATTCTGTCCACACACGTGGACATTAAACATCCAATAAAAGAGCGAGACTATGTACTTAATATAGTCTCGTTACACTGGATGATAACCGAAAAACAATAATTATTGAGACGAAAGAATTTAAAAAAAAGAATACGATCACGATCACACGGTATTCGCTGCAGATATAAATTCTCTGCGGCAACCTTTCAAGCTCCATTCTTGGTAATAGTTAGATACACGAAAAGACACACATATATGTAGAAAATATATATAATATAGCTGTATATATATGCAGAAGTATATATAGCTATATATGCAGGATAGCCGGAGGAGAGATTTTAGCCGGTGAAGAGAGAGTTAACCTAGAATTTCTTTTTCCGGCTAAGAATTAAAAATGAAGAGAAGAAGCACGAGAAGCTCCTCCACACTGTCGAGACCGCCGGCGAATGGAGATGGACGGAAAACGGATAAGAAGAAGGCGAAATTCGAGAAAAAGTTGTTCAAGTACGAGGAATTGCCAGAGTATTTGAAGGATAACGAGTTCATCAGAGACTATTATAGATGTGAATGGCCTCTGAAACATATTTTTCTTAGCCTTTTCTCTTTGCACAATGAAACTCTTAATGTTTGGACGTAAGTTTATTTGATTAATGATTAATCTATCTCGAGTAGTGTTTTCAATCACTTGAAGAAATTTCAATGATTAAACATAAGTGTTTATCTCGATTTTAGATCTGATCTTAATCTGATTTCTCTGTTCTCAAACTATAATTTTAGTAATTTTTGAAGTTGATTTAATTCCTGCATAATATTCAGAATCCTGAAAATTTAATGAATTTGGATTTTTTTTCTTAGGCATTTGTTAGGTTTTATTATATTTATTGGATTGACGGTGATGAGCTTGACGGAGAAGATGACTCTGGAGAACGTGATGGCGAGTTTCCTTGGGTAATTTCACATAGTGTTGGAGGAGTTTTTGGTCATTTGACTTCAATTTGTTTCCAGTTTTGACTTTTGGTAATCGAATTCGCAGAGAGGGAAGTGATGCTTGGTTAAACGTGAAGATGACGAATCAATCCAACGGTTCAGATTCATTATTTTCGGTAAGTGTTGATCTTACTTTTCTTTGATAAAATATGGCAGACAATTTAGAAAAGAAACACGTGGGACCAATTCTTGGCATGTTTATAGGAAGTTGAGGAATCTGGTGGGCTCCGCTCCATGTGAAGTTATTTTCTATACCTAATAATAAAACATATTTATTCCGAAGTAAGAAAAAAGAATGATGTTATGTGTGCATTCAATTCCTTACATGATGGTTGACATTTCCAGGGACGGAGTTGAAAAATTCGTTCAGTGCCAACAAAATTTAATTGACATAAAACTTTGAATTTTTTGTCATGGATTTAATGATAATAAAAATATAAAATAATATTACGACAATACTAAAAATAACATAGTTTATAAATAACACCAGTTTCTTGCGAGTTTTCATACATTGATATCAATATCTTCCCATCAGTTTCTACATTTGATTTTCTTTTAAAAAATCTCTTCATTTGATATCTGGATTTAAGCATTATTGCTATTAAGAATGTTTTCAAGTTAAGCCCAAATCAAGTAATTGAAAGCAAAATAAAATTACTGAAAGCAAAAGCAAGTTAATTCCATATCAAGTATCAAGTAAAATCAAGTTAAATACTCTCAATTAAGTTCACCAAACTCTAATGATCTAATCGCATCCCCTCAACAATTAACAACATCCAATTATTAGAAGCAATTCAAAATGACAGAATCACAAATGCTGAAAGTAAAAGCAATGCAATTCACATGGCAATACTAGAATCAATTTATAGAGTAAACAAACTCGCAGAATACTTTCACAGTGCCGTCCATGCCAAAAGTTGAATGGTAAAGGAGGAGTTTTGGAAGGAATGGGTTGAAATCGATTGTTATTGAGTTGGATGATATTGGGTTTCTTCACTTCTTGGCTAGGTAGTGTGGGCTAGTAGTTAAAATAAAATAAACTTGGGCATTTGGGTTGGGTCTAAAAGTTCAGTGCAAGCCTGTGTCTACACTAGACCTGAATGGGCTTCGCCCCTGGATATCCCCTTTATTTTCAAAAAATTGTGAGCGGGAAAAGTGTTTTTTTTTTTAAATTGTTCAATGATGTGTTGTCACATGATATAATATAAACAACGATGTAAAAGATGATGTAAATGTAACATGATGGAAGAAAAAGAGTTACAAATGGGTAGGAACGATATTCTATAATTATAAGAATGAGTTCTTTGACATAATGTAAACAATGATGTAAAAGACGTAAATGTAACTTGATGGAAGAAAAAGAGTAACAAATGAGTAGGAAGGACATTCTATAAGAATGAGTTCTTTGTACAAAATTATGAATTATTTTAACTTCTTACTCTGCAATTGTGCTCATTCAATGAATATGTCACGTGCTGCACCTCACTGTCACGTATATGAACATACCAAAAAATTTATTGCACATGAAAAGATCGAGTTTAATGCAGTATCTGATTTTATTATGTGATACAATAGTCAGAAATTTTTTGTTATAATATATTATAATTTTGCTACATATACCTTATCAAAATAAAAAAAAATAAATTGCTACATGTACATTAAAGTTAGACAGTCATTGTCTGTGTTGTGGGCATAATGGCCATTAATTTTAGCAACACTTACTCAAATCTCTAGCCAAATTTTTTATGCACATAGAGAAATATCAAACTTAATGTACAAATATAATGTACAAGTAGATTAATTCAATATATTATTACATGGCAATGTGGCTTGTGGTTCATTCGATTTCTAATACATTTGTAGGATACTTAAGCCTTATATATTAAAATTAAATTTTTAGTAGATTTTGATGAAAAAATTATAAAATATATAGTTGAGAAGTTGTGGATCCCATGAAATGTATGGTTAAAATTAATTTTTGACCTTGACTTAAAATTTTAATTTGATTTTAATCTAAACCAAGCAAGCCGATAAATTGGACGGGACTAGATTAGACATGTCAAGTCAAGTCCAATTCAGTGCTCTTGATGTTAGCCCCTATTTGAAACAGATTAAAATTCAATTTTTAATTTAGTCAAAATCAACAATTAATTTTAATCATATATTTTATGGATCCACAATTTTTCAACATACATTTCATCAACTTCTATCAAAGTCTACTAAAAATCTGATTTTAATTTTCACCAAACTGGGCATGACACCAGTCTATACTATATTGTGTTTAATTAGATATGTATTTGATGTGCAGAAATCTTACATAGCAAATATCCCCAAGGTGTCAATCTTACATGCAAATGCAGATTCCGATTCTCTTCCTACATGGCCTTGGTTTGTTTTCTTAGGAGGAGCAATGAGTTGTTTGATCTTTAGCTCAATCTCCCATCTCTTCGCCTGCCACTCCCAAAGTTTCTACTTGTTCTTCTGGCGCCTCGACTATGCTGGCATCTCCCTCATGATCGTCTGCTCATTCTTCACACCAATATACTATACGTTCTCAGATCACCTGCATTGGCGCCTCATATACCTTACGTCAATCACATTTGTAGGAATTCTTGTTGTTATCACCCTCCTTGCACCAGCACTCTCCGGTGGTCGTTTCCGGGGTTTCAGGGCAGCCCTCTTCCTCTCCATGGGGTTCTCTGGTGTAATTCCTGCTGCTCATTCAGTAATCCTTCACTGGGATCACCCACAAATACTCGTCGCACTCGGGTATGAGATAGCTATGGGACTTCTATACGCCATTGGAGCTGTGTTTTATGTTACTAGGATCCCAGAGAGATGGAAACCTGGTACATTCGATATTTTAGGACACAGCCATCAGATTTTTCACGTTTTAGTTGTTGCAGCAGCGCTTGCACATTGTGCTGCCACCATCGTTATCATTGAATGGCGCCAAAACTTGACGGTCTAAACCGCCCTTTTTTTCACTGTCATTTGGAATATATATAAGTTTTGTGTTGTAATATTATAGCAGCAGCGCCATACGTTAACCGTTGCACTGCTGATTCTTGCTTGTAACCAGCCATGCAGCTATTGAAACTTAATTTTAAGCTGTAAAATGCATACGTTCTTGAACTTTGAAGTAGAACAGATAATTTGTTGCAGAGTTGAGCAAGGGTAAAATAGTAAAATGTGTCCATGGAAAATTGGTTAGTTACTCAGAAAATAGCATTGGCTCGACATAGACTTGTGAATGCGAAATAACTCGAAGATTATAACTTAACAGGAATTTATATTTGCCATGTAAGAAGATAGTTAAATAGAAAATCCATCAAGTTGGCATCTTTCTTCAAACAATTCTTGGTTAAATTAAGGAAGCCGGTTATTCGATGATCTAAATAACCTGTCAAAACTGGTCTATGAATGACAAAAACAACAAATTCTTACAGTTTTTTCATGGTTAATCTTCTGCACTTCATGCTCGTGATCGTCCTAAAATTATTTCCCGAACAACTCCAGTCAAGGTTCTTATATGTTTAAAAAGAAACCACAGAATTTGAAATGTAAAGCATAAAGAATATAAAATTCACTCAAGATCTTTCCACCTTCTCAAGATTAAACTCTCACTTTCCATCATTCTGAGTCTCTGACTTGATGACTTCACTTTGCAGCCAAGCTAGGTCAAAATCAAACCATATCAAGAAGGCAGCAGCATCTAGGTTTACCGGGGTTCTAACAAACTTGTCAACAGGAAGAGAAAATGAACTCCCCATTCATTTCCCAGCACCACCTGGATGCATCTCATTGCTTCGATCGTATTCGTCATTAAGAGTAGATGAGTGAGGTAGATGATAAAGTATTCATTCAACTTGTTGCCTGTATTATATCAGTTTCTCCATCACTGTAATCTCCCCAACGCTTGGTTGCCTTTTCCTCGACAGCAATGTCATTACAGTTTTCGGCAGACACAATATCAGTATCTTCTGCAACTTTATCTTTAGATGTTTCTTCAGGTCCACAATGTGATTTTTCACTGTCTCCCGACTGATCAGAATGGGTTTCTTCACTAACTCTGGGTTCTTCCTGTACATTTTGCGATGTTGGTGAAGTAATGATTGTCAAGTTGCTTGAATCTCCCTCGACAATACCCTCTGCTTCAACTTCAACTTCATTTTGGTTTTCTTCAGCTTCTTCAACAGTTGCAACTGACGAAGACCCTACCGAATCCACTGGAGATACTGGAAGCCCATTTTGAGTCTCCAGCACACCATTCATGGATACTGGAAAGCAATTTGGTAATGTTGCTATGCCATTTGGAGATATAGGATATCCATTTGGGGAGAAAGTAATACCATTTGAAGGGGCCATATAACCATTTGGAGCAACTGGATAGCCATTTGGAACCCATGGTTGGCCAGGTAAAAACTCAGCTGCAAGTGGATTCATTATTGTTGGAGGACTGAACTGACTCTGATCCCCATTAAATTCACCATTGCGGAAAGGCTTATTCCTTGGAACACGATTTCCAGATCGATTATAGCCACCTGAGAGGCGTGGACCGTATGGAACTCTTGATGTTGCTGATTGATGTGGTGATCTA